TCTCATGGACTACAGGGATTTTTCTCCCAATTTCTTTTCATATTGGAGAAAAACAACGATCAAATTTTAGCGACCGAATTCAAACAGGGGGTGCATGATGCAGTAAGCACTAAGACCTAGTTAACAAGTTGTGCCACCAAATATTCCAGTTACGGATCCATCCTCATGTACTACCTCTTAAGAAAAAAATAACTTGTAGTGCTATATTTGAACAACTTCAAGATGTGCGAGAACATGCATAGTTTCCCATATTTCCTGGAACGAGTAAGCAGAACTTTGGCTACTTCAGATCACGTCGCACTGAGCATCAGTCAGTACGTGGTAGATTGAAATGCGCACAGGACAGGGAACCAAACTGGAAATTCACTCCCCGATCGGTCATCACAGATTCGGTGATTTCAGTACACTGCTGGCATTGATATAAAAGGCGACGTTGTGCTAAAATAATTACGTCTGTTTTATAAATAAAAAGTTTAACCTTTTCACCTCTGCCTAATTATAAATGAGATGAATTGGAGCACATGGGAAGAGCTGGGAGTGGGAAAGTGAGGTGGGGAAGCCAGTGGGAGCGTGAGGGTAAGAGACGAGCAGCCACGTCCCACGTCTGCTCCGGTGTGGATGGAATTCACCGGAGGACATAGTGACCAGTCATGGGTTTGGGACAGGAAACTTTTTCAGCTTCCTCCAAAGCATAGAAAAAGGGCAAAGATCAGTCAGAGGCTTACAAGGAGGTGACATTTGTTCATGTTTTCTGACATAATTTAAGTCAAAAAGGCATAAACTGAAGATAAACAGACTTGCTTAGTATATCAGAGCACATGTGATCATGGCTTGAAGCTGGAAGAGTATTTTAGAGATTAATAATAGGATAGGCTGACTGCAATCCCAGCATTTGGAGAGGCTGAAGTAGGCAGATCGCTTCAACCCAGGAGTTCGAGACCAGCATGGGCAACGTGGGAAAAACCAGTCTCTACAAAAAATACAAAATTAGCTGGGTGTGCTGGTGCATACCTACAGTCTCAGCTACTATGGAGGCTGAGGTGGGAGGATCACTTGAGTCTGGAAGATGGAGGCTGCAATAAGCCAGGATTGCACCACTGCACTCCAGCCTGGGCAACAGAGTAAGAGCCAATATTATTATCAAATAATGATGATAATAATAATAGGATATACTGGATTATTTTAGGCATTAGATATGATGTATCTAATCCTTAGCAGGAGTGTGACATTCAAGGGACCACAGCAAACTTCCAGGAAAGGCTAACATTATTCATAGTAGAGGACACATGTTGCAGGGAAATAGAAACCTGAAGGATGGGTGCCTGACATCTGAATGCACAAAAACTCTAAACCCACCCTTATAGAGGCATGGAGGCTAATGTCTTTAGACCTTGTCCTTCCAGACCTCATGCTCTGGGCAATGCCTCTCTTCCTGGATGGCAGATCTGTCAGTTCCCTTCAACCTTATGATACCAGAGCGTTGACGTTGCCTGGAACTCAAAAATATTTGCTTAAATAGTATGCTGGTTTTATGCAGCATGTTTTTAAATTATGAAAAATGCATTACTTCTTGTAGTTTTTTTTAAGAAGTATAAGTTACATGCTATAAATTGCCCCAAAGCTCAAGGTTACAATTAGACAATTTTTTCCAATGTATCTATCAGGTACACCTTAGCCCACATCTAGAGACATAACATTTCCAGCTCTGGAGAGTTTCTTATTGTCCCTTGCCATCAAGCACTTAGCACCAGCAACCACTGTTATGATTGCGACTTCCATATTCTAGGTTTACCTTGTTTTGAATTTTATGTAAGCGAAAACATGCAGTTGATACTCCTTTGACAAATGTGGCATTTTAACTGTCTCCCCATGTCACTGGATGTATCAATATTTTACATCTTTGTTGCTGGGTAAGATTTCATTTTATGAATATAGCGCAATGTATTTCCCATCCTCTTGTTGATGGACATTGGTTTGCTTCTAGTTTCTATTGATTTATTTTTGAGATGGAGTCTTGCTCTGTCACCAGGCTGGAGTGCAATGGCACCATCTCCTCTCACTACAACCTCCACCTCCTGGGTTCAAGCGATTCTCCTGCCTCAGCCTCCCAAGTAACTGGGACTACAGGTGTGCACCACCACACCCAGCCAATTTTTTGTATTTTTAGTAGAGATGTGGTTTTACCAGGTTGACGAAGATGGTCTCGATCTCTTGACGTCATGATTTGCCCGCCTCAACCTCCCAAAGTGCTGGGATTACAGCCGTGAGCCACCATGCCTGGCCTGAATTTATTTTATACAATAGCAAAGACCTGGAACCAACCCAAATGCCCATCGATGATAGACTGGACAGGGAAAATGTGGCACATATACACCATGGAATATTATGCAGCAATCAGAAATGATGAGTTTGTGTCCTTTGTAGGGACATGGAAGAATCTGGAGAACATCATTCTCAGCAAACTGACACAAGAACAGAAAATGAAACACTGCGTATTCTCACTCATAGGTGGGTGATGAACAATGAGAACACATGGACACAGGGAAGGGAGTACTACACACTGGGGTCTATTGGGGGGAATAGGGGAGGGACAGTGAGGGGGGAGCTGGAGAGGGATAGCCTGGGGAGAAATGCCAAATGTGGGTGAAGGGGAGGAAGGCAGCAAAACACACTGCCATGTGTGTACCTATGCAACTATCTTGCATGTTCTGCACATGTACCCCAAAATCTAAAATGCAGTAAATAAAAACTTTCATGCATATTTCTTTACAAATTTTTTTGTACATATGAACTTACTTGAGTGTATATACCTACAGAGAACATTGCTGATTAATAAAATAGGTGTTTATTTAACTTTATTAGAAACTTTCCAATGGTTTTCCTAAGAGTTTATATCATTTTATACTCAACCAGTAGTGTATGAGTGTATAGTTGTTCTTTCTTCCTGCTCACCTTGATACCGTTCCTTTTTCAATTTTAGGTATTCTTGTATGTATGTAGTAATATTACATTATAATTTTATTTTGCATATTCCTATTAATAAGGTTGAGAAGATACTCAATGTGAAGGTCTTTCTATCATTATATTTTTATTAGTTGATTGGCATAAATTTTTTTATAAAGAAATGCTACTTCCTTGTATTATGAATGTTTTCTCCCAGTCTGTGATGTAACATCTCTTTTTCTGAACGTTTTCTGCCACACAACTTTAAGAATTTTATCTTACATATATACCATCATTTACTTAAGTAGCCAAATTGTTTCCAATGTTAGTTATTTCAAATAATATCAAAACAAATATCCTTGAAATTTTATATATATATATATATATATATATATATATATATATATATGCACTCTTCCTTTTCCTTCCTCCACCCGTACTTCAGGGTCTTACAACAATACTTTTTATAGAATTCAAATCAGCCCCTTTAGGGCCCAGAGTTTTCATTTTACTTTTCTACTAATTATCCTTTTCAGATACACACTATAATTTTCTTCCTTCCTGCTATCCCTTAGCCATATTTCTTAGCTATCAAAAAAGAGTCCTCCTAAGTTTAATGTAGATATAAAATTAATATGTATTAAGAAACTATTATGTGTCCCACACTGAGATATGCTCTGATTATGCATAATTTCAATTTATGCTCAGATCAGCCCACTAAGTTTCATTCTCTTTTAATTTTTGTAACTGGAGAGGCTAAGATTTGAGACATCCACACATATCCAATTAGCAAATGCTTGAGCTGGGACTCAAGGCAGGAGGTCCTGTGTCTAAATTTCAGGCCTTCCCTCCATCTACCTGGCTCTCTTCCAAATATAATTTTTAGAAAAACGTGATGCGCAACTGATATAAAAGCACAATTTACATTAGTCCCTACAGAGATGAGTGGAGCGCTCACTTTCTATCTAGTGACACCAATTTAAAAAGAAATTACAAAATGGCAAAAAGCTAAAGCCTGACTTTCCCTATTAAGTGAACTGTCTTTTATCTGGTCATTATGTATACACAGAGAATCAGAACTAATATGTCTCTTTTTAGAACCTGATATTAACTTAGCAAAACAGAATATATCAAACCACATTCACAATCTTCTGAATAAAACATAGCTCCTACAAAAGCAATAATCAGGGATTGCAAGTATAAAAAGAAAATGTTCTGTAATCCCAGCACTTTGGGAGGCCGAGGCGGGTGGATGACGAGGTCAAGAGATTGAGACCATCCCTGTCAACATGGTGAAACCTCGTCTCTACTAAAAATACAAAAAATTGGCTGGGCATGGTGGCGCATGCCTGTAATCCCAGCTGCTCAGGAGGCTGAGGCAGGAGAATTGCCTGAACCCAGGAGCGGAGGTTGCGGTGAGCCGAGATGGCGCCATTGCACTCCAGCCTGGGTAACCAGAGCGAGACTCCGTCTCAAAAAAAAAAAAAAAAAAAAAAGAAAGAAAATGTTCTTTTTGACCAATATATTAGAAACAAAGCACATTGGAAACAAGGGGATTTTTTACTTACTTACTTTTAAGCCTGACAATATACAAATTTATTTTCATAAAGTCCTGGATTTGAAATAATAAATTTGGTAGAACAGGTGCATCTGACTGCTAGGAAACTGCCATCCCTAAAGGGAGGAAAGCCACTGTCAGAAGCTACTGAGGTTAACAATAGATTCACAATTGTGGCCCTATTTTTAAATTTTGTCATGAAGTTCCCAGCGCATATGTATACAAGTGGTTGTGCTGAGGAATTTTTAGCTGTTAGATGCCAATATTTCAAACACTGAACTTCCAGATTTTCCACTTAGGTAAAGAAATGGAAGAGGTGAGACCGAGGCAAGAGACTTATGAATTGACTAATGCAGTTTTCAGATATTTAGAGGGAGAAAATTTACATGTTTTCTTGCTGGGTTAGTTTAATTTATAGATAAAATTTTGATAACTTTTACATTGTTAAGAATTGTCCTGTTTTTAAAGTAACACTTTTTCTTAAAAATGTTTAGATTGACTCGAAGAGAACTCCTGCCCATCAGATTCAGGAGAAAATAATATAGAATTGCCTTGGATGATTTCAAAAGTTTCAGGTAATTTCCTATCATATGTTCACAATGTGAATAAGAGCAAGTTTTGGAATGTGAAAAATAAATCATACATAATTATCATCTTTCTGTGGAGTTTATCTTCCTTTCCAGCTTAACTGCAATGTTTGTGAATAGTTTTAGATTGACAGAAAAATTAAGAGAAGTTAGTACAGAGGGCTCCCAAAAGCTTTGCATACAGTGATCCCCATTACTGATGGAAAAAGGAAAGTATCTTGGGTCCCCAAGATCACTAAGCTAAAGGGAAAATCTAAGCTGGGAACGGCTCATGGCAAACCCACCTCACATTCTTTTCAAAGTCATCCCTCTGCTCACTAAGATAAATGCATATCTGATTGTCTCCTTTGGAAAGGCTAATCAGAAACTCAAAATAATGCAACCATCTGTCTCTCACCTATCTGTGACCTGGAAGCCCCTCCCCGCTGCTTTCAGTTTTTGCTTCCTGCTTTTGCTACGAGTTGTCCTACCTTTCTAGAGCAAACCAATGTTCATTTTACATGTGATGAATGATGTCTCATCTCTCCCTAAAATGCATAAAACCAAGCTGTGTGCTCTGGCCACCTTGGGCACACGTCATCAGGACTTCCTGAGGCTGTGTCCCGGGTGCTTGTCTTAACCTTGGCAAAATAAACTTTCTAAATTAACTGAGACCTGTCCAAATTTTCAGGGTTTACACTAATATCCTACATCAGTATGGTTCCTTTGTTATAATTAACAAACTGATATTGATACATTGTGATTAATGAAAATTCATACATTATTCGGATTCCCTTAGTTTTTATCTAAAGCTTTTTTCTCTTCCGGGATCCCGTCCCGACGATCACGTTATATGTCATGTCTCCTTAGGCTTTTCTGGGTTGTGACAGTTTCTCTGTCTTCTTGTATTTGATGACTTGGAGAGTTTTGAGGAGTTCTGGACTTTGAACTCCTTCCAATAGAAGAACTTTGTAAGAAGTTCTTCTATTGGAATCTGTTTGATATTTTCTCATAATTAGATTGGGATAGAGGTTATGGGGAGAAAGATCTCCAAGATAAAGTTGTGTCTTTCATCATATCACATCACAGCTACACACCCCCATCATCACATATTATTGCTGAGGTTGACCTTTTGAACACCTGGCTGAGATTGTGTGTGTCAGGCTTCTTCACTGGAAAATTACTCGATTTTCTCCTTCACTATATTATACACGTTGAAAGGAACTCACTGTGCACAACCCACAAACTGAAGAGTGAGGATTTTGTCTGTGGCCATACTACCCTGAACATGCCCAATCTCATCTGAAGAGTAAGGATCTACATTCACATCCTTACATGAAGATAAGGGTGTCTAAATAAAGTATTTGAAATGCTTCTGCATATGAGATTTTCTTCTGCTAAACTTCTTTCTTTCTTTAATCATTTATGCATATTGGTGTGGACTCTTGGACATTCTGTATTTTGTATCATAGTCTAATGCTACTTTGTTTTGTCATCCAAATTGTCTCAACTTTGGCCACTGGGAGGTCTTTCCACTGGCTTCTGGGTTCTTTGATGTATTCCCATCACTGTGTGTGTCTGTGTGGTATGTGTAGATCATTTCTTTACTTTCTGGCAGTACAAGATGTTCCAGGGTCATCTTGCCTAGTTTTAGTGCTAGACATTTCTCTAAGAAGCACTGGTTCATTTCACTGGAGAATTAGAATTGGAAATCAGGGTTTTGGTGCTAGGACTGCTTGTTGCTACTGGAGTGCCATTTCTAATGGGCTTTCTCAGCTGACGACAAGAAAATACATGTGTGTATATTAATCTAAGTATACCCACAATCTGTAAATATTTCTATCTGTAACCATCTGTACCTAAATTAAGCAAAATATGAACACACCCTTGTCTCCAACCCTAATCCATTCCAGTGTGGGTCATTCCAGCCTTGTTCCCTTGCCTATCTCCAAATTCCCACTCCAAAATAACAAACTTGCCTGGCACCACTCACCATCTACTTAACCTTTCAGTTCTAGGACGCATGTATGGCAGAGTCAGAATTGTTAACCAACTCCCTGGTCCTACCTTGGAAAACTACTTTATCAACGAAAGCACAGTGCTTATGTGCAGTTCTTTTGGCTCCAGTCTTACAGGTTTGTTAGTTAGGTTGGTCCTTTTCTCTCACGTCCCCTTAACTAATGCTGTTTCACACATTTGATTCGATTCTCTCGAGACAGTTTGCATTCCTTCTTGGAATGCCCAGACATCCTATTTTTAAAATGTGCATATGTTAAGGTTTACTCTTTGTGCTATAAAGTTCTATTGATTTTGACAATGTATATTGTCCTGTTAGCCATTTCATTATCTCACCAAATAGTCTGACGACCCTAAAAATTCCTTGCGCAGTCCTTACCTCTGTTCTCCAAAGCCCTGACAACCGTTGATTTTATGCTGTCTGTATAGTTTTGTCTTTCCCAGAGTCACATCCCTGCAATTATTCAGGATGTAACACTTTGAAACTGGCTTTGTTACAACTTAGCAATATGCATTTAAAACGAATTCTGTTCTTCTGTGGCATTGTAACTCATTTCTTTTTATTGCAGAATAGTATTTTATTGCAGAAGTGTACTCTACTTTGTGTATCTATTCACCTATTGAAGAAAATCATATTTGCTTCTGGTTTTGTTGATTATGAATAAGAATGCCATAAGCATTCATTTTTAGAGTTTTGATGTGGAAGTAAGTTTTCCACTGAATCGTATAAACACCTAGAAATGTGATTGCTGGATTGTTTGATAAGACTATGCTTGTCTTTGCAAAGAATGAGCAAAACAAATGTATTTCAAAGCCGATGCATCATATTGCATTTCTACCAGTAATGAATGAGAGTTCTCACTCCATATTCTCATCAGAAATTCATATTGTCAGCTTATTTTATTTTGTCCATTCTAATCATTGCAGAGGTATCTCATTTTTCTTTTAATTTGCAATTCCTTAATGGCAAATGAAGTTGAACACATTTTTATATGCTAATTTGTTGTCTGTGTATCTTCTTTTGTGGGGTGTTTTCTGCTCAGAACTTAATCCATTTCTTAACTGGGTCATTTGTTCTTTTCTTGTTTTGTTTGTTTAAAATTGTGGTCAAAAAACATATAAAACTACTCTCTTAATCATTCTAAGTATCCAGTTTAGTAGGATTAAGTTTATTTACATAGCTGTGCAACCAGTCTCTAGAACCTTTTCGTCATGTAAAATTGAAACTCGATATCCAATAAAGAGCAAACTCCTGCTTCCTCCTTACCCCATCCCTGGCCACACCATTCTACTAAAGTTTCCATGAATCTGACTGCTTTAGACACTTCGTGTAAGTAGGTTCATACTATGTTTTGACTTTTCGTAATTGGTTTGCTAAACTTAGCATAATACCCTTAACATTCACACTTGCATGTGTCAGAATGTCCTTCCTTTATGAGGCTGAGTAATACTCTCTTGTGTGTATAGGGCCACATTCTGTTGATCCATTCTTCCATTATGGATGCTGGGGTTTCTTCTACATTTTGGCTACTGTGAGTAATGCTTCTCTAAACATGAGAGTGCAAGCATCTCTCCAAGTCCCTGCTTTCGATTACTTTGGGTATGTACTCAGAAGTGAATTCACTGGATCACATAGTTATTTCATTCTTAAATTTTGAAGCATCAGCCTACACAATTTTGCATTCCCAACAGCCATGCAAAAGGGTTCCTATTTCTCCACATTCTTGCCAACTTATTTTGTTTTTCATTGTTTGTTTGCAGAAATCATCACTGTCATAGTCATCCAAATGGGTGTGAAGTGACCGCATTGTGGTATTGATTTGCATTTTTATCATGACTAGTAATGTGATCATTTTTATTTGCTAATGATCCATTTGTAGATCATCTTTGAAGAAAGGTCTATTCAAGTACTTGACCCATTTTTTGATCATTTTGAACATGCTGATTGTATCTTGTTGAGATATAGGAGTTCTTTATAGATTCTAAACATTAGCCCCTTGTTAGATATGTGATTTGTAAATATTTTCTTCCATTCTGTATGTTGTTTTTTCACTCCACTGATTGTGTCCTTTGATGCAATTAAATTCTGATGACGTCCAATTTGTTGAATTTTATTGCTTGTGCTTTTGGTGTCATAGTCAAGAAATTCCTGCCAAATCCAGTATCACGAAGCTTTTTCCTTATATGCTCTTCTAAGGATTTTGTAGCTATGGGTCTCTAGGTTTTTATTCATTTTGAGTTAATTTTTAAAAAGAATTTATTGGGTATATCTAAGGCATACAACATGATGGTATTGTAGATATGTAAGATGAACAGGTATAAAGATAAAATATACAATATGAGGATCTATAGTCATAATAATGTAATGTATTCAGTTTTTTTCATATTTGAGTAGATTTTAGCTCCTCTTGCCACAAAAAACATTAATTCTTATATGTGGTGTAAGGTGATGGTTCAACTTTATTTTTTTATGTGAATATTTAATTTTCCCAATACCATTCCTTGAGAGACTGTACTTTCCCCTTTGAAAGGTCTTGACTCCCTTATCAAAAGTCATTTGACTATATGTAAGAGTTTATTTCTGGGCTGTCTAATATTGATTTATTTTTTTGAGATGGGTTCTCACTTTGTCATCCAGACTGGAGTGCAGTGGTGCGTTCTCAGTGCACTGCAACCTCCGCCTCCCAGGTTCAAACAATCCTCTAGCCCCAGCCTCCTGAGTAGCTGGGACTATACTGTGCTCTCTATTTTATTCCATCCATCTATATGTCTGTTGATATGCCCATACTATCATATTTTAATTACAGTCAAATTGTAATACATTTTTAAATCAGAATCACAAATCCTTCAAGTTTTTCTTTTTCAAGATTGTTTTCACAATTTGGGGTCCCTTGAGAGTCTATAGGAATTTTAGATTTTTTTTATTTCTGCAAAAAAAATAAAATGCAGTTAGAATTTTGATGAAAATTTTATTAAATTTATAGATGGTTTTA